AATAATAATAATAATAATAATAATAATAATAATAATAATAATAATAATAATAATTCAGCTGTGAGTGTAGCATCCCGCAAATACAGTGCGCTAACTCAGGTGAACCCTTTGCCATTAGTACTAAAATCATTAGGAAAAGGTTAGCAGTGATAGGTACAAACAAATCAGTAGGGCCAAACAGAGTGTCCGGCAAAAAAACTGGGTAAAGGTGTAGCCACACAGAGCGCTACATATGCAACGCACACTACGTACGCTATGTTCGCTATACAAACAGAAAAATATCTCCCTTTATTGCCAATGTGACTGGCCACACAGACTTCCATATGCTACATACGCTATGTTAGCTGCGTCGCAGTGTTTGATTCTCAGCTATATTTTTAAAACGTCGCCCTGGACGGGCATGCATACTGGGCTCGCTTTCAGGTGTCAGCTGCGCGCCTCAGTAATTTTCCACTCTGATTACAACACGTGTTATGTATCATTCAGCACAGTATTCGCTTAGATGAAAATGACACTGGAGGAATTAACTGAAGAAGTAAGGGAGTATCCATGTTTGTGGAACAAAGGGTTAGAAGAATATTGGAACCAGAACATGCGGGATAATACGTGGGACATGATTTCTGGAATTGATTACACCAGGTAATGTACAAACATTGTTCTTTTGTCTATAAGTTAAGAACTTAAAATATTTTCATCAACCCCATTCATTCGGAAATATTCTTTAAATTTTACTTCATCTTCACGTAACTGCTTTATCAGATGATGAAATTCACCAAACTTTATTCTTCTTAAGTTCATGCCATGTACCCACTTCCTTTTACATTTACACAAGGAAAGTAACAGCAAAAGCTCATCGTCGGAATCATTGCTGCCCGTCCACGGCGCACTATCAGCCAACATCTCATTCAAGACTGAGCAGTTTTGTACCAAACATAGCTTTCTGTGTGGCCATGCGGTGTAGCGAACATAGCGTAGCGCTCTGTGTGGCCGCACCTTAAGGAAATCCAGGATTCCATATATTGTGCAGTTACTGGACATAACAATAATACCACTACCCCAAGTGACTGGAACAAACCGACCGTGATTCCTGTTTACGAGGGTGACCGATCGCTGATCTCAAATTACAGACCTGTCAATTTAACCTCAGTGGTGTTCAAGCAAATTGAACATGTTATTGCATCGTACCTGAGGAAAATCTGGGATAAAAAGGATTGGTTATTCAAGGGTCAGCATGAATTCAGGCCGGGATATTCATGTGAAAGTCAAATAATCACAGTTCGCCAGGGCATTGCAGACTCACTGGGTAATGAAAGTTGGAAAGATGTTATTAGAACAGATTTCTTTAAGGCTTTCAAAAAGTTGGCACTAACTTCGCCCACAACTGGCGGTCACTCAGTCGGCATAGTTCACTTGCAGACTAAAAGCCACGGAGTTCCCCCCCATGATTGGCTGCTTACGAAAATTGCAGCCTCAGGAGAGGATTCAAGGGTAGTTGTACGAATAAGGGAGTTCCCTTGGGCCGTGTGCAGAGAGTGAGAGAGTAACGTCAGGAGTACTGCAAGGAAATGCACTGGGTCCACCACTGTTCCTCGCGTACGTAAATGATATTTGGAGAAATACTGAGTCAACTATAGGACTTTCGCAAATGACTGTAGGATATATAGGAAAACTATATATAATAAAGATATGGAAAAGTTGTAGAGAGATCTGAACAGGCTGGGGGAGGAGGCAGTCAAAAATGTGATGATAATTAACCCAGCTAAAACAAAGCAGTTTGTTTCACGAGAGCCCAAGTGATGGAACCGCTAAATTAATTGTTACGGGACATAGTAATCCAGGAAGCGAGCAGCTGTAGATACTTGGGAACAATTTTATGCAGCGATTTCAGTTGGGCTGATCAAGTTAATTACACGGCGAAAGAAGCTTGGAAGGCATTTCACTTTACAATGCGTATTCTTAAAAAGGGAAATGGTAGCACTAAAATTTTAGCCTACACATCACTGGTGTGTCCAATTCTTGAATATGGAGCTGTGTGCTGGGACCCTTACAGGAAGGGACCAATAGATGTGCTAGACCGGGTCCAAAACATGGCGGCTAAATTTGCACATCATAGAAATGATTCGAACTGGGTAACCTTGACAGAGCACAGAAAGAGAGCTTGCATGTTACCAGGGGAGAATGGGCTTGGAATGTTACAGGTGACAGATCACAAAGGCCATGATAGGAAAATTTGGGGCAGAAAGCAAGACATATATCGGAAAACGTTCCTTTGCAAACGAGACCATCCAGCTCTGGAACCTGCAGATGCTTTAGGGACTCTCTCCTGCAAAACCAAGTAATTTTAGGAAGAGGGTTAGGGAAGTGATAAATAAGACAAAGTTAAGGTTTAGGGGAAATCATCAAAAAATGCAGTGAAGTGAGGTGAAGTGAAGAGTGGGGGGAAGGTCATGGTGAAATGTGAGTGCATCAGTTCATGGCATTACTTACTTCACTGCTGTTACTGTTTAGTGTACAGTATGCTTATATTTTTATTATTATTAATTTATATTATTGTAGTTGTAATTGTATTTCCATTGTATTCATTGTGTGTAGTGTGTCCTTTGTTGTTTGTGTAGTCTTGTGTGCTGCATTTTGTTTGAGTGTGGTGTGTTATTTTGTGTGATGTGTTACTTGGGTGTTGTATCTTATTGTAGTGCCACTGGCACTGGGTAAAAAACCCCTTTGCACTTAAAATAAATAATATTAAAACTCTAAGCTACGTGAGATAGACTGATGCTACCTTCGCATTATGTAGTACTTTATGCAAAACAACATACAAAAGCCAAATTACAGCATACCTTAAGAACAAGCAGAGGAGCCTTCTTGCCAGGAATAAGGGCTGTAGTGATAATGATGTCCACATCACGTGCCTGCTTGGCGAAAAGTGCGTGTTCTGCGTCAATAAACTCCTTTGACATTTCTTTACCATAGCCTCCAGATGATTCACCTTCTTCCTGTAAAAAGGTAATAATGTCCCTGTAACAGGCTGTGGAGGCCCATAGGGTTGGGAGATGTCCAGGTTCCCACATTTTCTAGACAATCGGCTCACAGATGTTGGTGGGTTTGTCAGCCTTCTGCACCAGCTGTCCTTTACTCCCAGGAAGATGCCTGGTACTCCTTTCTGTTAGAGGGTGAGTCAACCCAAGGACCACAGTGCAGCTGGAAGGATTAGGTCAATTGAAAAATCCAATGACTTCATTGGGATTTGAACCCACAACCTTCCAGCTTGTAGCAGAGTGCCTCAAGCAACTATGCTACCACTTGCCCCAACTTCTTCCTGTACCAAACAATAATATGTCACTACACAGGACACCATACTATTTTTGTCTTGAAAATGGAGGCTGCAAGCTCCTCCAAAAAGTTGGTTAACATGTCTACCTAATTCCCTGTACCTCTCCTACATCAGGCTATATTAGAAAGAAGTGTGCGGCACTAAGCGGCCCTTGCACCACAACCATCTGCAATCTGTCATGCATCGCCATATCTGAGATTAGGCCTCCTCTAGCTGTTCCCTGCACTTCAAAAGATGTACAGTACTTTGCTTAATGGGGCCTTCTGACAGTCACTTCACCTCATGAAACAGAGTCCCATATGACTGAGACATTAACTCGGCTCAAGCCTCAATGTCACACTGGAAGTGTGAGGCTGTTCTGTCTTCATCATGGTGACTTCCATGAGTGGGTCTGTTTACTGGTCTGAGATTGAATAACTGTCCTTTGAAGTACAGTACACCCTCGTTAATCCAGACTCACTGGCTGCAAAATGTCATCTGGATTAATGAAGCAAAAGATAGCTCTAAAAGAAAAAAAAACTTTGAAAATAAATAAATGGAAATTTTGATAATACAGGCAGCACTGACAAAAATAAATAAGAAAACATCACTGCAGCAGTTTATTCCTCTGTCAGGAGCTGAAATCCAGGGTCTCCTTCAACCAGCTCAAGCCAATCTTGGGTATTTTCTTGCTGGTTTCAGTCTCTCCAGCTGCCCTCAACACAGTCTGAAAGTCCTCTTACTCCTAAATCCCACGTGTCTTTCAAGGCATGTACTCAACTGTATATATAATTTTTCAATTTTCATATTTGAACCCAGATGATCCGACATCCTGATTAACTGCAACAGGATTAGTGAGGGTTTCCTGCAGTCCTGTCAAAAGTCTGAGCAAGTCGCTACTTAGCTCAGACACTTCCCAGAAGAAGCCCTTCACATGTACAAGTGTACAAGTATGGATCTTCATTCCATATGTGCCAACCATGAATTTTCATGGTCTTTGCCAGTCCCTCCATGCAAATGCCAGGACAGCACCTCAAATTAGGGTATGGCCCCACCAACCGTTTCTGATGACGTTACATGACACAGCTTTCTGAGGTAACCAGTATGACATGGTGATTCCTGTTTAGCACACGACAACAGAGACACTGCTTCTCATACTGTATTCCTCACCTTGAGAGAGACTTCAAGAAACTCTGCCCCCAGCGATTCCACCTGCTCCTTAACCGAAGATCTTGTGTCAAAAGCCCGTACTATTGCACCCATGTTCTTTGCCTGACCAATAGCAGCCAGGCCTGCCACTCCACCACCAATGATAAGAATCTTTGCAGGGGGTACCTTGCCAGCAGCAGTGATCTGACCTGTGGTGATATGACGATATGGGTTATGTTTCAGTACAAAGTTCTAAGCTACATTTAGTGCATGGGTGTCACGAACCCATGAATCACAGTTGACATGTAAGATTTACAAGGCCAGAAAATGTGAAGGTTTGAATCTACAGCATGAGGCTGTTGTATGTGTCCCATCATCTAAATGATAAATAGAACAGAAAAATATCACGAGGATGAAAACTGTTCAATTTCCACCACTGACTACGGTCTCAAAACAAGATATAGAATACGTGGTGTGTTCAAAAAGTATCGGGCCTTCTTTTTTCCCGCGTAAACCAATGAAGCGCAGGAGGCTCCCTTCGGTGGAGATGTGGAGGGAACATTCATGCACAGTTGTGAATTTTTTCCCGCCCACAGAAAGCGTCAGTCGCTGGCAGTCGGCCTATGAGTGAGGATGTGTATTGAGGGCTCGTCGGATTCCAGTAAGGTGTAAAATGACGGAACAACATGAGCAGCGATACTGCATCAAATTTTGCCAAAAGCTTGGCGGTACCCAAGTGGAAACCACTTGCAAGATTCAACAGGCTTTCAGGGACGATGCCATGAGCAACTCACAGATAAAGAAGTGGTACAACCGCTTCAAAGATGGCCGCACATCAGTGGACAGTGAACTGCTTTCAGGCAGACCATCAAAAAGTCAAAATGAGAATGTCATTGAGCAAGTGCGGACTTTGGTCATGGAGGACCGTCGTATCACAGTCCAAGAACTTGCGAATGAGATACGGGTAAGCACTGGATCGGTACATTCAATTTTGACTGAGGACTTGGGCGTGAGGAGAGTGTCCGCGAAATTTGTACCGAAACTGCGCTCTGATTCAGACTTTCGTCGCCAAACACAACATCCCTGTGGTTCGTCAGGCTCCCGACTGCCCCAACATGGCTCCGTGTGACTTTTGGCTATTTCCCAAGCTGAAAATGCCGCTGAAAGGAACCCGATTTGAGTCAAGAGAAGACATCATGTGGAATGCGACGGCCCGGCTGATCACCATTCCAAAAGACGCGTTCCAGAAATGTTTCCAACAATGGCGGAAGCGCTGGGAGAAGTGTGTGCATTACCAAGGAGCCTACTTTGAAGGGGATTAGGGTTTTGTACCTCCAAATCAATAAATGTATTTCTGCCGACTAAAGGTCCGAAACTTTTTGAACACACTACGTATATCTTCGGCAAGATATATCACAGAGAAGTAAAACAAACGCAGGCACCATTGGGTTCTTGCGAGCATAAAGATGTCAAGCTATCTATTTGGGTTTCATGCCGTCTTACTTCTTTACATAAAAGCCACAGTGTTTTACAGACAGCTTCCATTTCTGTCATCAGGTGGACAATATGAAGAAATTCACGGCTATGACAGCAGCTCTACCTAGGGGCCCAACACACTACTGATCTCTTTTTATTCTCACCACCTGAAGTAGGAAATAAAATTCATCTCAAAACATTGTTGTTTCTATATAAAGAATTAGGAGGAGTGATGAAACCAAAATAAATAACCTTCAAAATGTTCATTCTTACTGAACTGTTGCACAAACCCCATAAGAGTTGTCACACTTGTAAACTAGACACGGGTATCTCAACATATTGTAATGTGTTGACATCCATCCACCACACGCATAACATTCCCTTTAATTCTGTTAGGAGAAGAACAGAACATGCGAAAACCAGTCACACTACATGGTCTGGATCACAACAGCTATGTTACTGTGGGGGGGGGGGCAAGTATATCTTATCCATGTTTAAATTCCTGGAGAACTGACCTGAAAAAAATCTTCCAAAGTGGTTAGCTGCCTCAATCACCGCCTTGTACCCAGTGATGTTTGCCATAGAGCTCAGTGCATCGAACACCTGCGCACGTGATATGCGAGGAATGCAGTCCATACCTGGAACATAAACAATTCTCAAAGTAGTTGTAATCATTTTAAGGGCTATGAAACAGATGTAACATTTATGTAACCCTTTAAAGCACAGCGGTAAGTAAATGTACCCCCTCCTTTAACACTAAAATGACCTGCAATCTGACCACAAAGTGTATTTAAGTGTTTCACACGACTCTAACAACAGTTATTATTTCCATAAAAAGCATCAATTGGTTGGTCTTTGTAATGCAGATGCAGTGTGTTTCTTATGAGGTAGGAACCAAATGTTTACATATTATTTATACAAACTTCAAACTGCCCATGCCCCATGGTAAGATATGCAAGCATTTCCTTCAGAGCAGGCACAGACTCAAGAACATCTGTTCCCTCTTAATAGCAAGTAGCCTGACTTGAGGTACTATCTCAACATCTGCCTAACTGATGAAAGTAAAGTAAAGCTCCCTGTACCAGGCCGTGGAGGCCCATAGGGTTCTGAGATGTTGAGAGTTCCACATTACCTTGACAATTGGCTCAAAGATGGTGGTAAGTTTGTCAGCCTTACGCACCGGCCGCGCTTTACTCCCCAGGAAATTTATTTAATTAATTCCTGGTACTCATTTCTGTTAGAGGCTGAGTTGAACCCAGGGCCACAGTGTGGTCGGAAGGATTAGGTCAAGTGAAAGAAATCCAATGACCTCATCGGGACTTGAACCCGCGACCTTCTGGCTTGTAGCACAGTGCCTCATCCAACTGTGCTACTGTGGCCTGACTGATAAAAATCACATAAAATCTTGGTCAGAGCAGCTGGTGTGCGCTAGCGATGCTGTATGAGCACAAACACAAAACAAAATATGCAAATACAATGTGAGCCCCAGTCTTCTAAATAAACATTTCTCAAACAAAGGTGTGCACATGCTTGTGTGTGTACTTGCACACGCCATTTAGGTAGAGTTCAATGTTCTGTGCAGCCATTACACATCTGAAAAGTGGTCTAATGTCAGTGCCTTGTGACGTCTCCCAACAAAAATTCATGCAGGAACAAACACACAAGCCTACATTGTTAACAGTTTATATTTAAAGTGTCTTTTTCACTGCTCTGTTGGGGGGGGGGCTATTCATTTCTAAACAGCCATTTCCAGCCTTTGCACCAACATTATGGAGAACCATGCCAATTCTTTGTTAGCAGAGAACCGGAGAACTGTAGCCAGGAGGAGGTGACATGCATGCTCAGGGGCTGTATAGCTACATTGTGACATTCAGAGCTTGGAATCAGAGAGATCTTTAAGTGCTCTGAAGTAATTTCAATGCGTACTGCATTAGAAAGAGAAATGGTTCTAAAATGCTGACAGAATAAACAGACACATATAGCATGTTACTTATGCAACATGTTATAGAATGTTAGACAGTCAACAGATGACTTCATAAACAAGACTAGGCTAACATTTGCACATGAAAGATCAACATAATCTTGTGTAAGTGCTTCTCATTTTGCTACAGAGACACAGTTACAATCTGTAGAGAAAATGGAGAGGAGATTTCAACAGACAGCACAAAAACCTTCCACATGGAACATCCTGTCACTTTTTTGTGATGTCCCATTACATGTTTTGACCCCCCAGACATTGCCTGTCTACCTGTAGTTTACTTTACAGTGGGTCACTTGTTGCATAACCGACAAACTGGAAAAGATTTGGAAGTTGAGGTACTATTCTGGAATTTGCCTGAAGAGGTCAAGGAAAGCCTTGGTTAGAGCAGCAAAAGTCATGGCGGAGATTCACACTCAGCACCTCCCATATACAAGGGAACAGTGTTACCACTACAGCAACCTATTCAGTGCATTATTAAATGTTACAGGGTCTTTCATGGGGGTTTACAAAACACCACAATGCAGTGTGATGACCTGATGGAGGATGAAACATGTGGTGGGACAAGGAATCCATTTAAAAGTGATAAAACATGCTGCACAGTTTCTGGGGCTTGGAACAGCGTAATTGGTTGAGGCACTATGCTACAAGCCAGAAGGTCGCAGGTTCGATTACTGATGAGGCCACTGGACTTTCCAATTGACCTAATCTTTCCTACCACAACATGGCCCTGGGGTTAACTCAGCCTCTAACAGAAATGAGTATCAGGAATCTTCCTTGGGGTGATGGGTAGCAAGTGCGTAAAACTGACCTCACAGCCATCTCTGAGCAGACTGTCTAGAGAATGTGCATCTCACAAGCCTGTGGGCCTCCACTGCTTGTTATAGGGACATCTTTACCTTTTTATTTAGAGACAATTTCTATAAAACGAACGGTTTACTGTGCATCAAGAACAACAGGCTGCCATAGTTCAAGACAAAAAGAGAATTGAAGTTAATGAAGTTGAGCCAGAGAAAATGATGCAGGGACACAGAACAGAGATTTCATATTTTTATTTAAAAAATGGAAGATGGATAAAAATTAAAATATATTTCAAAAGCAGAATGAGACTCATGAAAAACTTCAAATAGACACACTTACCAAGCACAGAAGAAGATTTTTCTACTCTGAAGAAGGAGGCAGCAGGTTCCTATGAAACACTGGTATGTATCTACTATGTTACACAGCAAGACATTGCATAAGATGACAACCTAAAGTTTAGTGTTCAGATAAACATAAAGTTATCTCTGTTCTTAGTTAAGCCCTGTCTGGGGGAGTGGCGGTTCTTCCCCATTCTGTTTAAAGAAAACACAAGTGAACTGAATGATCCTGAATAGGATAATTATGAGTGATGTATGCAACAGACTCTTCATGCACATTACTCTTCCTGCTGGCCTTTACAGCTTCGATGGAACAATCATTAACCTATTTTAATTCCACCCTCACTCCTACCAGCTACAAATTAATTGCTATGAAACTTAAGGAAAAAAACACTTTGGCATTGGAATACACAAAAATTTCTGCCATCTGGTGTTCATACATGTCAATTACTATAAGAGATGTCAAAGAACCTAAAGAACAAACATATATCACTCAAGATGCAACTACAGCATGGCAGAGAGCTCCTGACACAGTACACGAAAGGGTTAATACAAACTTTAGTTATTGGTGGGTCTTTGCCTTTGAGATTAATATTAATTAAGTGTACAGATTACTCTGAAATGATACTGTTTTACTTGCAGCCTGACAACTTCCTTGCATTTTTTCTATCCTAGGAGTGGCAAGAAACACAGTCCCTTGGTACTGTGCCCTCAAATGGGTCTAGTATACCAGCCTGTGCTGACACAACCACATGGCAGTAAACATGCCATGGACACCTCTGTCCACCACATGTGCATGACAGACTTCCCTGGAATTAAATCCAGGGCTCTGCAATAAGAAACTGCAGTTCCTGAACACTTTGCCCTGTACATGTTAACCTTGCTGAACACAGTTATGAAACCAGACACTGACAAGTCCACTGGCTTACCAAATGCAGTGAGTTTCTTTGCAATGAGCTGATCAACAAGATCCTTATTTTGGCCAGGATACAAAAAGGATATCAGGGTTCCTCCATCCTTGAACTGATGCACCTCATTAACCATCGGCTGGCGAACCTTCAGCACAATGTCTGCAAAGATAGAAACAAATTTGGCATGCTGAATGGGGGACACTTCATTAACCCTTCAAAGCCCAGCAGTTACTGTATGTACTACCTTCTTTAACACAAAAATGCTGCACTTTTGCCCCACAGTGTGTGTGTGTGTGTTCCATATGGTTTTCACAGTACATGGCATTAATCGGCTGATCTTTGTAGGGGAGACGTAGCACGTCATATCACATGCCATTGCTGGGTGCTGCATACTAAACGGCGATAAAATCCTGCAGACCTCTAGGACACATTTCAAGGAAACTGGCATGTCACGCTTTGGCCCCCTAGTGCGTAAACCGTTATTTTAGTGAAGATACCACTGAAATGTTTTCCAGCCATCATACCACTCAACTAACCTACTAAACAATATTTATGTTGAGGGCTGAGGTTTCCATGGTTATGAATATTAAGACTACAGTTTTCTGTACTGTGCTGCAATGTCCTTTGGTAGTATGAACCATCTACCCTGAAGATTGGTACCTGCATACCAAACTACATGGCATCACACCCCAGAACATAGCAATGTCCATGATGTATACAAAGTGAACAGTGTAAGATTCCAGATTTGCACAGCAGTGACCCTGTCAGTAAATTGACTATAACACTGAAATATGTTGCAGGAAATTCCAGATTCTGATATTTGTAATTTATATCCTGCAATTGTAGGCAAGTTCTTCTGAGACATCAGATGTGTTTCACAAGAAACCCTAGTCTTACAGTCCATAAGATGGGGAACACTGTATATTGTAACCTGAATGGAAGGCTGTCTTCTTGTCCACAACTTTGGCCCCAGCACCAGCATAATCTTCATTGAGAAACTTGGACTCCAGGCCAGCCCCATCCTCAACATTAACACTAAACCCTTTCTTGACCAGGGTCGCCACAGCAGCGGGTGTCAGCGCCACCCTGTGGAGTTACAATGAAATTCAGGACAGAAAATATCATATTTACACATAAATCAAGCATTTCTCAAAGTTTCCAGTTCGCACTACTGCCCACTCACAGAACAAGATGCTGACTGGCAAGCAGGTTCCCTCAGATAAGAAAACCACACAGTAACAGTATAATTGAGAATAAAATGTTCTTCAGTACAGTTTGTCTGGAACAGGGTTCAAACCCAGCAGGCATGCTCAAGTTTCCACACATTTTGTAGAAACAGAGACAAGGATGTCTTTATTTATATATGAGAAAGAAACAGACATGAGATTTATGGTACAGCCTGTGCTATGCATGAAGCAGGAACGTAGGTGTTAATGTGCCAAACACGTTTTTTGGTCACCTGTGATAACAAAACTGCGTCCTTGAGATGTCAATAAGACTTGCAACCAAGCCAAGCTGATTGTTCTGCACAGATGGCTTATATAACTGAAAGAGTGTAGGAACAGTTTGAATGAAACTTGCTTATAAAAGGGTCTCAGTGCTTTCATATGAAACAGAGGCAGCTCTGTAGCTTTGCCTGCAAGGCCACTGAGTTACAGGCTGGACAACTGAATGGTTGAGGTTTTATTTCCCAGCAGTGCTGATGGCGTCTCTCTTTTCACCACTTCCAGACTGACTCCAGGACCCACCCAGCCTCCCATTCAATGGGGACTGGGGGCTGTTTCCCCAGGAGTTGAGGGGGCATGCCACTAACCACTACCTCCATCCACAGTCTGCTCCTTTTCTTGTGAAGCTTGGGTGAAAACCACTCAGAAAACATTATACATTGGGGTTGGGAGTTCAGTCAGGCGGTACATAGCTGAACTGCCAAGTGCTGCCAAGTGATCTTACAAACCGGGCCAAGTTTCAGCTTTCATCTTCATCTTCCATGTCAATGTCATATGCTACAAGTAATTCCCCTACCTCATTCATGCGTCACCTGTTTGCATTTATTAAACCCCTCGCTCTTTTTGGCTAAATGATAAAATGTAACACTGCACTGCAATGAACCGNCAAGTTTCAGCTTTCATCTTCATCTTCCATGTCAATGTCATATGCTGCAAGTAATTCCCCTACCTCATTCATGCGTCACCTGTTTGGCTAAATGATAAAATGTAACACTGCACTGCAATGAACCATTCGGAGAAGCAGGTCTCATACTATGGCCAAGCAACAGCTAAGGGCCTTGGCTGAAGGCTACACCCACCCCTCTTTTGTGTGTGACTGCTGAATTTCCCTGTTAAGGTGGAGCTTCACAAGAAAAAGACTGCACTGTAGTGCTGAAGGTTAAAAATGTTGAGGCTACACCCCACAAGATGGGTTCACAGCTCATTACAGTCAATTCTTTACCTTGATTTGTTAACTGACTGACTAACAAACCAACCAACTAACCAACTCTATGGAGCAGAAAGTTGTTCTTCAGAATCCAATCCTGCTCACCTGGTTAACAAGTTCTTCTTCACCTTCTGTGGAACCCAAAGGTTTACTGCCGTGTTCACAAAATCACGCCTTTGCTTCCTGTCCTAAGCCAGATGAACCCAGTGAACTCCTATATTTTTTAGATCCACTTTAATATCATCCTCACATTCACCAAATAGCCTCTTTCCTTCAGGTATTCCTACCAGTCCTCTGAATATATTTTTCTACCCTCCTACGCCTGCTACATGTCCTGCCCATCTCCTCACCCTCCTTGATTTGACCATCCTAAAATATTTGGTGAAGAGTACAAATTATAAAGCTCCTCATTATAGGTGCAAATACACATTTCACTTGCTTCCACACCAAAATACTGCACAATATGACACAGTCCATAAATGTAAGCACCGTGCTTCACAGCTCCACTGTTCTCTTGAAGGATCCTGCAGAGTTTATCAAGGACATGCTTCATTCTTTCCCATTTCCTAGAGGAACCTTCCTTCTAAGAAAAGCAATGTGAACAGGCAACAATAAATTTTAAGCAAAATATTTATGTTACAGTTTCATCTTTTGCTTTCAGTAAAAACAGCATAGCCATTACAGCAACTGGCTACAGCCTGGACAGCTGAGGGGTCGGAGCATAAGTCCAGTAAGGTAAAGAATTTTCTGAAGAAAGCAGTCTTCTGGGATTTGGCACCGTGTATATGTGGTGTTAACCGACGTTTCGGAGGAACGTATCGCCCCCATCTTCAGGGTAGAAGAAAAAGTATAAGAATTCTGCAAGCGACAACACCGTGAGAAACGGTAAAGCAGACTAAAAGCAATGTGAACAGGCAACAATAAATTTTAAGCAAAATATTTATGTTACAGTTTCATCTTTTGCTTTCAGTAAAAACAGCATAGCCATTACAGCAACTGGCTACAGCCTGGACAGCTGAGGGGTCGGAGCATAAGTCCAGTAAGGTAAAGAATTTTCTGAAGAAAGCAGTCTTCTGGGATTTGGCACCGTGTATATGTGGTGTTANCTACCCTGAAGATGGGGGCGATACGTTCCTCCGAAACGTCGGTTAACACCACATATACACGGTGCCAAATCCCAGAAGACTGCTTTCTTCATAGTCACCGCCGTGAAAGCCTCAAATCTTACAAAGAATTTTCTGTTCTCCACATTGTCCAGACTGACTCTGGGGCACACCGTGCCTCCTATTTAATTGATACTCGTGGCTCTTTCCCTGGGGTAAAGCAGCCAGGGCGTGAAGCTGACCAGTCACCTCCAACTAGTGCCGAGGTCAAGAAAATGTGGATCTATACATCCACCCACCCCCCCATGCATCATCATGGTGAAGTGCTTATTTAGTTAAACACAGGGACACTCTTCTTCCATTTGTTAGAGGAAGTGGTTCTTGTGAACGTGGCAGTGAACATTTGAGTGCCATGAGACAAGAAATTTCTTGACTAGGTGAGTGAGCGACTACCAGCTCCTCAAGTACATGAATTTTACATTGATTTTCAATGCACCCACAGTGGAGGCAAGAGACACTCCTTTTTCTGTCGAACCCAGGCTGGTCATGCAAGCTTCACTGTACTAACTTCCAGGCTCTTTCTCTAGACATGTAACGGGTTTGCTCAAGTAACGGGCCTGACGTGTATTCAGCTCAGGTCCAGGCCTCACTACTCCAGGGATACTGACCAAAGTATTCAGTGGTTTTCACAAGTCCTTTTAGACAACTGAAAAAATGTTNCCGAAAAAAAAAAAAAAAAAGCAACAACCACCCCCATCCCAATCATTGCCAGGTAACCATATACAGTAAACCCCACGCTAATCTGGGTTAATTGGGGGGACCAGGCAATAATCCAGATTTGTGAATCAATTGTAGACCAAAAAAAGAAAAAGAAAAAAAAAAGAAAAAAGAAAAGAAAAAACTTAGAACACAAATAAATGGAAAATTTCATTATATAAGTAGTGCTGATGAAAATAATAAAAAACATCACTCTATGGCTTTTATTTTAAAACTATAAAAAGAGAATATATTTATTGAAACTGTCAAGTTTTTTCTGAACAGACAAGTGACTCATCCGCCATCCTTTCATTCATCCTAAATGCCATGTGCCTTTTAAAGTATGTACTCAACTGTGAACAGCATTTTTCACTTTTCATATTTTGATCTGGGTTATCTGACATCCACATTAACTGTAAATGGATTAGCGAGGGTTTACCATATGTACAATCTCCCACTTCTGTTAACAATGTGTATTGATGTCTGAGTCCAGATACTGAAGACAAGCTGCGGCTCGCCTAGAAATGAAACACATGATATTTGTAACAGTGACTCAAGAATAACACACAGTCAAATATATCAGAGCATTAACTATGCACTGTTCAACAAAAAATTAATACAGACTTCCACCCCCACCCCCCTGAATGCATATTGGGAGTGAACCCTGTGTTCCATCTTTCTCTACAAGGTGTGCTTCCAACATTCAACTATCAATGCTTGTGATGTGCATAAGAATGCGAGTAGGTTTCCGAGGAAAGTGTCTGCTATTTATGCTTGATTTTAATAAAAACTAAAATGTCTTGACAAATTTGAGTACCCCCAATATCAGATTACACAGAAAACGAAGCAGTTTTGAACTGTTACTGCGTGAAGAGAAACAGAGAGACTTGCAAAACTAAGAGCTGCAGTTTGGCAACTCTTCCTTCAGAAGGATCCAGTTAGGAAGGATACTTGTAGAACTGACAGGGAGTAGGGCCAGCCTCTCTGGCTCATACAGCACTAGCAGTCATCTGCCATGATATTCTTCAAGTGCTGGCCTTGAATGGAACATCTATTTGCATATCGTGTCACTTCAGGGGCAGCAACAAGAAAAGCAGATGTATAAATTTCCATAGACTTATTCAATTTAGTCCACAAATGACACACAAGATAAGATTATTTTCCTGGTGTCAAGAACTCCAGGAATTAAGACAGTGATAAGATAGCTCAAGTAATGTTTTCCTCTTGATAAAGAAACACCTGAAATGTTGGCCATCCAAACATGAGCAGTCCACTAATCATCAGTGCAGGAATGAGAAGCCAATCCTGTTGCTGCAGTCTTGAGCCAGGAATTTGCAAGTTACAACATCATGTCACACAACAAAGATAAACACATTACAGTATGGTGTCACACAGATACAATATCACACATTAAGCACCACTTGATGACATTAAATCATCCAAAATTACATAATATATGATAACGGTTTACGAGAGTCTCCTGTCAAACATGTATTTTTAATTTTAATCCTTTCACTGCCACAGTTATCAAGAAGTGACAAGTCCATCACGCCAGAATTTCTGATATCAGCATATACATGATAGTCAGGCAGGAAGAGGGATTCAACTGATATACAGAGTGTTCCAGGGAGAAAGGTCCATATTCTGTGACGTCATACTATCGATCATTCTAAGCAGAAAAGTGTACATGTACATGTGTCCTATTCCGAACGGTTTCTGAGATAGAGCTATTTCAGTGTACACTGTACAGACAAGCAACACGCCTTGTCCTCACACGAGCTGCAAAATGCATTGATGTTGACAGTGGAATTTTCAAAAATGTTTTATACTAGATATACTGTACCACCTTTGTCACTTGAAGAATAAATACCGGTATTAGAAACAGTATGTAATATGTTTCTTACCAACAATTTTGGAACTGTACAGTGAAATAGCTCTATCTTAGAAACAGTTCGGAATAGGACACATGTACATATACACTTTTTTTATTCAGAGTGACTGAGATACTGTGACATCCAAGAATATTGACTGGGAGTAAGGATGGAGCATGGTGCCAACCCAAAACTGGACATGTCAGAAGGAACAGATTCAACATATGGCACCGCTTAACCCAACAAGCCATATTACAGGTCAGACATAGGTTGTTTCTTTAATGGTTCACTTCATGACATTGTCAGTATCTTGACTCTACTGAATCAAACGACAGGAAATCCGATGACTGACGAATTGGAAATGATTTGATAGAGGTACTATCCCAGCAACTGCCTGGAGATACTGCATGAAACCATTAGAAACCTGAGTCAGGATAGAGCGGTCTCCACTGAGACGTGGAATGAGCATCTAGACTCTAGAGCTTGGTACACGGACTGTGAAAATCTAATGACAGGGAGAAACACACACACACACAATGAAGCAGCTGCCTGTTGCTCCATGCACCCAGCAGCCTCCACATCACTTCCCCCTTCCCCTCATGTGACCTGGCCGCTCACCTCCTCTCATTCTTCCAGATCTCTTTCGGCACACCAACCGACAATTTGTTGTAGGGAATTCCAGGAACAGGTTTCAAATCAGCTTTTGGGGCCACTTCTTGCTGCTTCTGAAAGAGTCGCCCGGAGTGACCACAGAAGAGACGGTGCTGCAGCAGTAGGGGCCCCCGGCCCATGGCACTCCCACATCCTTTAGTAGCAAGAGACAACAACCTGGTCGCTCCTTCTCCACCAGTTGTCACCAGCAAGTGGAGTCCCAGCAGCCCGCGCTCCATGTGTCGCTGCCAACAGAACAATCACACTGCTACAGTAATGCTAGTAATCCTCATGAGAAGACACGGGTTCAAACCCCAGCTACACACCTGCTACTCTGACTGAGGTTTCTGTGGTTTGCTTCAGTCCCTCCTGGTAAATTCTGGGACAGTGTCACCAAATATCACATCACCACTTCCTGCCACATTGTATTATTCAGTACTCGTCCTACTACAGCCATGCTAACATCACGGGTCCTTAGCTGTTAGCTTCTCACTGCAGAGGCCTGGGTTCAGTCCCAAGGTATATTCCATCACAGTTTCCTACTCATAAATCATCAAGGGCTGGTACAATAGGCTGCAACTCCAAAGGACTCAATCTCACCCAACTTCTCCAACTTAGAAATCATCTCACAATATTCAAAGTGTTATGAAAAAACCACGAATAAGGCAAGGGGATGTTGTTCCTGTGCTTAATTAATTAAGCACCATGTCATTACATTAAGACGTATCGGGGAGTGGAGTATAGCGGCACCATTCTTGACCTCAGCACTAGATGGAGGTGAGTGGTCAGCTTCATGCCCCAGCTGCTTTACCCCAAGGAAAAGACCGCCAGTAACCAATGAATATGGATTGGGTGTGCCCCAGAGCCAGTCTGGATGTTGTAGTAGAGAAAAACCCTGCCCTTGCCAGGAAGTGAATACCAGTCATCCAGCCTGTAGCCCATCACTATACCAACTGAGCCACCCCAGCTCAAACCAAGAATACATAAATAAAAATATTCAGCTATTTTATGACACTGCATCAACCACTATGAGCAGTGAGTGAAGAATGAGATTTACTGGGGGACACATATACATAGACGTGATACCACAAGCTTCTCCGCCCTCATGTAAATAAGTAAGCTAAAAATACTGTTTCCTTCACTGGCCATTAAAATAAGCGTTATTATGTAATCTAGCCACAAAAATCATACGGAAGCAGTTACAGAAATATCCACACCACATGACAAGCAACATCTGCATATAACTGGCAGTAGATCACATAAACACTTGAGGCAACTTGGAAACCAGATCAAATTACACATCAACACATAAAAATCCTGCAATGGTGGTATCCCTGTTTACTTGTACTCCTATACACTAACCTCTCATCCACCAAGTTCATCTGAATAATATTTACAAATTTAGTCAGTACCTCAGAGGAAACATTGTGTCTCTGCTACAGTGCCCAACAGGTTAATGCTGTTTAGGGAAACAGTTGCTGTTTACTGTGAGAACCTCATGGAACACACAGATACACTATGTGGGCAGAATGCAGAGTTTTAGTATGTTCAGTCCATACCTCACAGGAAACATTACGTCTCCACTATAAAGCCCAACCAGTTAATGCTGTTTAGGGAAACAGTCGCTGTTTAGTGTGATAAACTCACGGAACACACAGATACACTCTGTGGGCAGAATGCAGAGGTTTAGTATGTTCGGTCCGTACCTCACACGAAATATTACGTATCCGCTACAAAGCCCAGGCAGTTAATGCTGTTTAAGGAAACAGCCGCTGTTTACTGTGAGAGCCATACGGAACACACAGATACACTCAGTGGGCAGAATGCAGAAATATTTAAGTTAATGTGGTATATACAGTAAACCCTTGCTATTCCAGAGTANAATTTTTGAGGGGGGGGGGGGAGAAGTCATCTGGATTAACTGATAATCCAAATTAATGAATGAAAAGATAGCCCTGAACAACGACGACAACTTGGGAAAAATAAACGGAAAATTTAAAAATACAGGTACTGCTGATGAAAATAGATATAAAATATTACTGTAGAGCCTTTATTTAGAAACTATAAAAAGGCAAATAGCTGAAATCCAGGGTCTCCTTCATCCACCTGAAGCCAACCTTGGGTTTCAGTCTCTCCAGCTGCCCTCAGCACAGTCTGAAAGTCCTCTTGCTCCTGAATCCCATTTGTCCCTAAATCCCGTGTCTTCTGAAGTATGCACTCAACTGTGAACAGAATTTTCTTCTGCTTTTCATATTTTGAACCAGATTATCTCACATCTTGATTAACTGTAAGTGGATTAGTGAGGGTTTACTGTAGTTGCGACTTTGCTTCAAGAGATTAACATCTCATGCTCCTTTTTGCAGAATTAAGGAGACAGCAATTAATACTCAGATGTTAATTACCAGCCGCAGAATGAAGTGCTCGTCACTGATGAGAATATCTGCACCTGGGAGGAGCATGGGAAAAACCGCAAAGAAAGTGAGGAGCTTCACACCCAGTTCTCTTTGCCAAATTCTGTTAGAGTGAGATGAGATGGGAATACAGCATGCATGGCCAAGATGAGAAATGGACCCAAAATATTAGTCTCAAACCCTGAAGGGAACAAACCACTTGGAGGACTTAGATGTAGATGGAGGATAATACCAAAATAGATCTCAAACAAATATGGCACAAGACGGGAAGAAAAGGTGGGCTCTTATGAAAACAGTAATGAACCTTCGTGTTCCACAAAGGCAGGGAATGTCTTGAGCAGCTGAGGGTCTGTTCAATGGACTGGCCTCACCTGGTTCAGGACGGGCAGGCACAAATGATGGACCCTTGTGGACACAGTACTGAACCTCAGATTGTATAAGTAGGGTAGCTCAAGGGACTATAAGCTTCTAAAGAAGGTCCCTGCTACACACAGTCAATCCGTTAGTTAGTTAATTACTCAGTTACTTCACCTGTCAGCAATATGTGTTATTTTCTTTTTAGGCTTCCCTAACTGGTAACTTTGAATGATACCTTATAAATAGTGGCTGTACTAACATTTGTGAGGTAATGTGTTTAAACATTTGCCACTGAGGTTTCCATATTCTACCTTATTCACTCTCGGGATTACTACCCGACTCCCTCCCTTTTTCTTTCGTTATTCACTAACATCCTCTCATTCAACATTATACAGTCATAGTTGGCTCAGACATTATGCTACAAGCAGGAAGGTCGTGGATTCATTTCCCGTTCAGGTCATCGAATTTTTCAATTGACCTACTCCTGGCTGGCCTGTAAGGCTGACAACCTCACCGCCATCTGTGAGCTGAGTGTCTAGAAAATGTGGGAGCCTCAAGGTCTTACAACCCTGCGGGCCTCCACGGCCTGTTACAGGAACTATGCAGCTTAATGGAATACTCTCTGCAGACATAGAATCTACAGGTTCACAATAGCATTACAGAGTGTCTATTGCCCAACTACATCCTGAGGTAGCCAACACACACTACAAAACTGTGCCCAGTCCTGAGAATGCAGGGTGAAGAGACGTCCTCTTTTTAAGGGTACTTTTTGATGTCCAGTCTCTTTTCTGGTAAACTGATAGATATACTGCCTGCCTTTTCTAAATTTTCAATCTTTACATACTTAAAACCTTCAGTAACATATTCTCAATTCTGAAAAACTAAGTTTACAAGCATTTATTTTCTTTTGAAGTGCCAGTGAGCGGCATAATAATTGATGTTAGTCATTCATTTTTGAAAACATTATCAATGCAAGCAGTATGTCTGAACTACTGTCATGTGGTTATGCACCTGCGCCTGCAACAATGGTAGAGCTGCAAGTGTCATGTCATATTATCCACTTTAATTTATTTTTGTATTCAAAGATAACTGCCAGCACGTTGTAGCATTGAGCTCAGTCAGTAATTACACTTCCTAGCTGACAGAGAGAAGCCAACTAATCGCTGTGTTTGTGCTTGCATATTGCATGTTTTGTTTTGTAAATATAAGTATGGTTTTGTAGTATTTGACACTTTTATGTTGTATTTTCCTAATTGTACAAGGATAAGTATACATTTTTTGCTCTTTTTTTCTACTGATAATGTATGTAAAAGCAAAAGTGTATATTTAAAGTGAACTTCAAAAAAATTTCCTTGCTTCAGAGTTGGGAAAAATGAAAATGAAACAAGATGTATATTAGACTTTGACATCTGCAGCAAGCAAAGGCAATTACAATTTGGAAGCATATATCAACAGTGCCAAGTGCACACACACACACACAAAATTTCAGATTTGTCATAATACCTCTAAGGCCAGTGAATTTTTATTAAACGAAATTCAAAAACAGAAGAACGAGCAACAGCAGCTAAAGGAGTATTGTCATTTCATACAGTAAAACATTACAAAGGTTAAAACTGTAGTTTACACTGGGTCCTGTTTTCCTACTCACAAAATCTGATCCCCCTAGTTAACCATCATAACTGTGTTCCATTAATGCCAATTGTTAATTATTATGCATTTATTTCCTATAAAATCACGAATCCTTAAATGTAACTTAAATATTTTCTCAAAAATATATGAATGAATCTTTGAACAAATGAATAACGTCAATTGTTTACATGTGGTAGGCATGGTCTTGTTTAGATACATTAGTCAATTTAAACAATCGATTGTCCATGAACCACTAACACCCATGAACCCAAATTCCATTATCTTTCAGTTAAGGACCTCGTCGAATCGCAGTATACATATAATTTCAATTTTTCTAGAACATCTATACATAAAAACCGGCACATGAATACGCGTCACGTTGGTAAGTTCCTAATAATAATCTGTAGAGAAATTGTTTTTGACATACAACATATTTTGACAATATTATTATTTCATATAACACTATTAAACTCAAGCCTTCAATGTGTTACAATACTGACTTTACGACCTTTGTGCTCGAAACCTATGATCTTCGTACAGGCCGCCAAAGCGTGCAATCAAAATCGGAAGCCTAGATGCCTTCGCGTTATAACTTCACATATTCATATCAATGACATACGGTATGCGGAAATCATTACCAGTGCACGTTGTCAAGATGGTATACAATCACTCTTCCAAATTCAAATTAAAATACCCACGACATAAAGTACCACTGACACACTAACAACACTCATACAGCATCAAAACATTACACACAGCTGCTCTGGTCCAATGAACTGATCATAACTGATCGTTTCGACTGAATCAGAGAAACCACCATAACCCACACAAAAGTAACTAATTGCTCTATAGTCCAAAAATTAAATATTTTAGTAATGCACTTACATTATTTTCTTTTCGTACAGCTATATATTCAAGCTAGACGCTGACATACCATTTCTTTCTGTAATCTGTACCAAGTAAAAACGCCAGTTATGCAACAAAATTAGCGGTGCAGTTGGTAAGTGCGTATATACATCGAACTGCGCGGGCGCCGACTCTCTTGAATTTGTTACTAGCAGCCGCTAGCAGCTGATATTGTGATAGTCCGTGAATTGAACAAGGCAATTCGTACAGAAGCTGAGATGGCGGGTACGCTGACAAAGTTTTCCAAATCTGTGGGGCAGATTTCAAGCAAATCATCCAGTTTCGTAGCTCCAGTGTATCTATCGCAACAGAGAAACTGTAAGTACAGCGTTCTTCTGCGCATCCTTCGTCAATCAAACTCATGATGCCGCTTGCTCCAATAACGATTTTTGCTAGCATCTGGAAGCGTTGATCTGGTGACTTTTGGTAACATAGAATAGACGTTGGTTATAATTTGAGATTGACGTTTATTTCATATTAAACCCAAAACTGGGGTTCATTTTCCGCGATAATTGATCACTGTATTGTTTCCTTTGTAACAGTTTCACTGCAACTGATTTTATGAACGGTATGCATGCTGTATGTCATAATATTCTACTAGCTAAACGCTGTTCTGTATCATTAAATTATAATGAACCAAACATAGGAACAAGAAGAAGCCCATAAGTAACCTGAATCAACTTACGTGCATGTATCTCAAACCCGCCAATAATCTGAATGTTTACCACGTGGCGTTGTCCTGTAGCCGTGCTCTTGTGCACGTAAACGCAGTCGGGAAAGTGGTGGGTGTGATTGCTTTTTCTAAATTAGGTTGCGTCCGAGAGCTGAGCATAATCTGGGCTACATTGGCACTGCCACGCAGCAGAATGCTATTCTGTTGCTAAGAAGTTATTTTGCTCAACATATGTCAGGCCACGTTGCTGAATAAAGTTAGGAAGCTGCATACCGGCTCCCTTTGTTTCCATGGTAACGCATCATATTTGTTACTATTGGTTATGTACAAATTCACGTCACTTGAAAATTTACATGCCTAAAGAGGCGGGAAATTTAACAGATTGACTTAGGTTGTAAGCGTCTTATTAGGGCAACATCAAGAATTTTATGCTTATTACGATATTTTATGGTTATGTCTGAACTGATAATATTAAGCAGCGTTTAATGATAGAACTCCATGGAGTTGAGCCCTTCTTGAGAAGCCACCAGTTGCGCAGCTACTCAACAATTTCCCAACATTTTTTGGAACCGAAAGGTTCATTACGGTATTCACAAGAGCCCTCCGCTGGTCCCTATCCTGAGCCAGATCAATCCAGTCCATACCACTCCATCCTATCTCTTAAGATCCATCTTAATATTATCATCCTACCTACATTAAGGTCTTCCTAGTGACCTCTTTCTTTATGGCTTTCCCACCAAAATCATATACTCATATGCTTTCCTCTTCGCGCCCATACGTGCTACATGCCCTGCCAATCTCATCTGCCTTCACTCAGTCATTCTAATTATACCTGACAAAGCGTACAAGTTCGTTTAATGATATGGTAGGGTGAAATGAGAAGGGACACAGCCTTATCATGAAGAGTGCTATCGTCTTGGGTGTGACACCGTATAGTCCGGTACAAGTTGACCGAAGTTTCAAATAAATGTCCTGATTCCATCCTGAGTGTCAAAAAGCAAGTTTTGGTTGTTTGATTGGCCTACTCTTCGACCCTGAAAATGGAGGTAACATGTTCCACCGAAGTGGTGAAGTTTTACCGGACTGCGCTGTGTCACCCAAAAGCACAGCATTCTTCATAATCACAGGCCAAGACCATGTTACATTTGTCCATCGCGTTCCTGACCTGTTTGGATAACAAGAAAAAAACAAACTTTAATTGACGCTTGTGAGGAGGTAGGTTTAGAAGTAAACGCAGAGAAAACTAAGTATATGTTGCTGTCTCGTCACCAAAATGCAGGGCAAAATCGTGACATAAAGACAGGAAACATGTTTTGAAAATGTGGCACAGCTCAGATTCAGTTTGATTCAGGAGGAAATTAAGAGGCGACTGAACTCGGGTAATGCTTGCTACCATTCAGTTCAGAAGCTTTTGTCCTCTCGTCTGCTGTCTAAGTACAGAGATGCTGTGGGTGCCCATGAATGTCTCTCCTGCAGTCCTCTCAAGTTTTGTGGGACAAACAAAATTGATGTTCCCAAATAGAGCACACATGTCCAGGTCTGCCATTCTATTTCTATTACTGAAAAGTCCAGTTCGGTTCTTCTAAACACTTATCTGACGTCAATGAGGAAACATGTGCTGCGTCTCTGGCGATCTGTTTGTCCCGCCTTTACACTCTTGCTCCATACGTTTGGTACAGTATCGTGAGGCTGACGTTACCCTGATAAGATAATCGTCTGTCTCTTGGAAGATGCTGCTTGGCATTTCGCGTGTCACGGACGTTGGCCCCCCCCCCTCACCTTCCGCTCTGCTGACGTCACTGCTGGTATTCAGGTGGCAGTGATAAGGTGTAACAGTTTCAGTCACGTAAGTGGGAATTAACAGAATTGGAAGTACCGCTTTCAGGCCCGAAGTTCATAGTCACTACAAATGCTGCTGATCCTCGCCAGCGGAGTCTTCCTCGGGTCCAAGTCCTGCGGAAATGGCTCAGATTCGTGACTCCCCCAACCTGGAGGGTCAGGTCCCCGTATTTATACCCCCCAGGAACAGGGTGGCCCAGTTATACCCCCAGGCACTGGGTTGCCTTTTCGTCGCCTCCTACGACTCGCAGGGTTACGGTGGAGGTATTCGAGCCCGGCCTGCACACGACCGACCGGAGAAATCAGAGGAAGCCGGAGAGTCAGACCTACTTTACGACTGACGGTTTACCGCCAATCAGTTCGTCTTGGCGTCAACCCCTTGAGACTCACAATCAGAGTTCTTTATTTTGTCTACTGAACCCTTGCAGTAATAGCCCTTACGTAACAGCCTCTCTGACGGGAAAATGGGTTTGTCTCCCATGAATATGCTTGGCCTTGTCAAGTGTACGTATCGCACATACAGCGTGTTACTGGAAATGCTTCCTTGTGCACTACACACAAGTCTTCTGTCAGTACAGGCTCTGCAAAGCAGATCGTGCCTGTCTTACGTATCTTATGCTATAACAGGGAGGACTGGGGAAATAAAAAGTCAAAATCACATTGGGACTGACGGTCGGTCAGTCTTGGTGTCGAGCCCAATTTGGGGCTTGTGACCAGATATTTATTACTGTTTGACAATTGCGGTGTTATTGTGTGGCGCCCTCTCTGACGAGAGGACGGGTCTGTCTTTTGTCAGAGTCATTTGTCATAATGTAAAGGATATTTACATTTTACATGTTAAACATGCTAATAACTGAATATAAAACATATGCAGGGCCTCTGTCAGTCCAGGTTCAGTACAGCAGATTATGCCCTATTTCTAGTAGCTCCTGCTACAACGGCAGTCTAGTCACTTGAACGGTCGTATGCCTGACCGCCGCCAAGTTTAAGCTTCTTGTACTTTCTATGTCGGGCTTCTCCTTGCGCAATATTGCGAACATTTTCGTCAACATGATTTTGTATGGCTTCCGCTTGCTGCCTGCACAGTTTTGTTATATAGTCATATACGTATGAAAGTTTGAATGCCATGTGTAAATCGCGGACCGGTGTGCGCCTTGGAAAATTGCCAGTGGTGCGGAGAGCCTAGTTTTGCAGGCGCTGCAATTTCACTAGATGGGTGTCTGCCGCAAACTCCCAGGCAGGACTAGCATAAGTCATTACAGATCTAATGAGAGCTTTGTGGAGGGTCAGTTTAATGTTAGCGCTCAATCGGTCACTTTCGAATAGGGAATACAATTTAATAAATGTTCTGAAGGCCTTGGCTTCGATCATTTCTATGTACGGTTACACCAAGATATTGTACACTGTTTACAAATGGAATACTCGTATATCTTCAATTCAGTGTAAGATGAGACAGGCGGCCGACGACTGCGAGTGAAGTAGATCCCCTGAGTCTTGTCTTCATTAATTTTGATATTCCAGCGCTCACACCAGGTCTCCATTGATGTGTACGTAAGTAATGTAAGTAATACTTAAAGGTTCAGTTCGTACCTCACAGGAAATTCTACGTCTCCATAACAACGCCCAACAGGGTAGTGCTCATTAGGGAAATGATCGCTGTTTATTTTGAGAATCATACGGACCACATAAATGCACTGTGAGGGCAAAACGCAGAGTTTATGTAGTGTTCAGACACGTGCTGCTAATAATTAGGGCTGATATTTACAGGGCTATCGACGAGAGAGTACTCTGAATTTCAGAGGAAGAGATCGTGGCCTGTTTCAGTGTAATATCGGACATTTCTTCTGTGAAGGTCTGAGGCAAACTCCTAAAAGGGAGAGACTACAGGCCCTATGGAAATGCGTACAGACTCTAAGGCCAAGAAACCACTAGAAGACCTAACCCGAGGCCGGATAATACTGAAATTGATGATGAATAAATTAGGGTGTGGACTGGCTGTTGTGAATACTGTAACGAACCATCGCGTACCGTTGCAGGTGATGCCTGCTCGCGCTACTGTCAACTTCTCAAGGTCACAACCCAACCGACTCCATGGAGTCGATTTTTATCTTAAGAAGCTAATAGTCGCTTAGCCTGCCAGAAGTTTCCAGCGCTTTACGGAACCCGGCGCTTCATTTCCATGTTCACAAGAACCAGATTCTGAGCCAGATTAATCCAGACCACAGCCACACTTCTGTACGTTTAAGATTCATTTTAATATTATCTGCTCGTCTGCACCTAGGTCTTCCTAGTGTCCCTTTCCTTCAGGTGATTCTGACCAGATTTTGTATCCGTTTATCTGCCCTCCCCCTCATGACCCACCGATTAGCGGCGCACACAGTTCGTCACGCCCTCCCTCTGCGGTCCAGAGAGTCCTCGAATTTAGTCTGCTGTGTGTCTGGTCCAGTGATAAGAAGGCTTCCCGAGTTGTGCCGTGAACTGGTGTGATGGTTGCCGTGGTTTATCAGCCCCGCTATCATGGCCACGGCGTTCATTGACTCCAGTCTGCGTGAACGTGGCTCGCAAGCCGTATGCCAGAGAACCTCAGCAAATAAATGTGCTTCATGAAGACCGTAAATTTATTCTGCCATAAAAGTATCGTCTTGACCAGATGAGCGACCACCAGCGTCTGCCCGGGCGGGGGTAGGTCTGTCATCCGCCACGTGTCTCTTCTCAGTTCACAGTTTCTATAATAAAAGTAAAGCTATCCCTGTACCAGGCCGTGGAGGCCCATTGGGTTGTGAGACGTCGAGGCTCCAACATTTTC